TGGCCTGGGAAGTGTCTGTCTACCCAGAATGTTTGAAACTCTCCTTTCTTTGGCTAGAGCTATTGGGGTGAATAGGAAAAAATGGAAAAATATATTCAGGCATAACTAGTATTCCAGTATATGAGGCATATTTGTTCCCAAAAAACTTGAGACTTTATATCTTTGCTGCTGGTACACAGAACCAGAAGGAGACATGATTAAAGCAAATCGTGTACGTTGGGAAACCTCTTTAACCCCAGAAGCCTAAGAAGCAAGGGACTAAGTAGGGGACATTTGTGCAGGAAGTCTTCCACATCCCTCCCCCACCAAGGGTCACCCAATGGCCCTGTCAAGGTAAGTACCTTCTGCCCTCCCAGAGCAGAGGAAGGAAGGAAGGAAGAGAAAGAAAGCATACCATAAAGACCCTGAATACTAAAACAACGCAATCCACAAAAGCAGGCCAAATCCCAGAGATGACTAAATCAGGTAACTGTCACCAAAAATAAAATAACTAAATAGGACTCAGAGGCTCCTAACATAATAGGCAGAATGTGTAAGATATAATTACTCATCATGCAAACAATTAGAAAAATCACAAGTTGAGTAAGAAATTACTGACACCAACACAAGATAAATTAGAAGTTAGAATTACCTGAAAAGGATTGTGAAAAATAGCTTAAACAATTACACATTCTTTTGCAACAAATAAGAAATAAAGCATTGGCAAAGAAATAAAACTTACATTAAAAAAGAACCAGATGGAAGTTATAGAATTATAAATGAAAATAAAGCAATTTAAACACACACACACACACACTGGAAAGTTCATTACTATCATAGGGACTAACTTCAGCATAGAACAGAATTATGAACAATCTAGAAAAACAAACAGAAAATAGACTGGAGGGAAAAGGGACTAAAGGCTCAAGAACCTGTAATAACAAACATTCAATATTTGTATCCTCAGAGTCCAAGAATGAGAGGAGACTGGCAGTATGATGGAAGTAATATCTGAAGAAATAATAGTTGAAAATTCCCATATTTGATAAAAGATACAGACATACAGGTCTAAGAAGCAAACTGAACCCCAAACAGGATAGGCCTACTGGCTGAGTTGTGTTTCCAAAAAAATGAGTTAAAATCTAAACCTCTGTAACCATAAATATGATCTTGATTAGAATTTAAACTTACTCTTGTTTTGTTAAAAGACCAAACCAGTGTATGACTGATGATAAACTATTTTACATCTGAGATATAAAAATATCAGACTAGGCAGAGGCACACATAGACAAATATGCTTAAAAGAAAAAGAATGCCAAGGATCATCTAGATACATCATAATTAAATGCCAAGGATCATCTAGATACATCATAATTACATTTCTGAAAACTAAACACAAATTAAAAACTATTGAAACTTTCATGGAGAAATAACCTGTGTACATAAACGACAATTCAAATGACACCATTAATTATAAACTGAAATAACTGAGAGCAGAACACATTCCATATCGGAAAAATACAATGGACTATAAAAAGAAGAAGGTAGAGCAGCTAGGAAATCTAGCCTTAAAGATTGCTAAATTAAGTTCTTCAAACAGACAGGAAATCATAAAAGGAGTCTAGAAGCATTGTGATGGAAAAAAGGACAATGCATAGAACAGAAATATGGGACATAACAATATATCTTTTTCCATGAGTTTCATAAATGATATTTAATGACTGAACCCAATGACAACACCATGTGTGATGCTGTGGGTTAATGCACTGAACTGTATGTAAGGTTAGTCTGAATCACAAGGCTGATGGTTCAAGACACTTAACAACACACAACAACCATCATCTTAGGACAATAATATTAAAGTGACTCCAAAATAGAAATGACATTTTCACATTTCACACAAAGGCAAAGCATGTTGGTATTAGACGATTGCTAAAGTTATATGAATAATGCAACACTCAGTAAAAACTAAGAAAATGATGCAAAGAGATAAACTCAAAACACTGATGATGAAATTAATAGGAATCCTAGAAAATGTTTACATAATCAAATGGAAGGCAAGAAAGGAGAAACAGAAGAAAGAACTAAGGAAAAAAAAAAAAGATTAATAAAATGTCAGGCTAAAGTGTTAATATATTAATAATTATTTTTAAGTAAATGACTTCAATATACCAAACAAAATATACCAAACTGGATGAATGGATTAAAACAAAAGGAATAAAGAAGCCAATAAACAACAATAATTATGCTGCTTACAAGATACTCACTTTAATATAATGGCACAGGTAGAATCACAAAAAGATGGGAAAAGATAAATATTAATGTAAATAAAAACAAGAGTCTAAATATTAATATCTGATTAAAATATTACAGTCTGGAAAAGATTTAAGTAAGACATAATGGAATTTTCCTATAAACTTTATAAAGCTTCCTTGCATTTGAGATCAAAGAAAATTATTAGAAACAAAGAGGGACATCACATAATGATAAAAGCATCCATCAACAAGCAGTACATAAAGCAAAAATTAATAGAGTTGGAAAAGAAATAGAAAGTTCTACAATTATAATTGGGGACTTCAACACCATCCCCCCTCAAGAATTGGTAGATTAATAGAATTCCATAAGAATGAAAAAGATCCAATAATTACAATCAACCAACAGGATATAACTGACAAAGAGAACCCTCGAACAATAGAACGTAATTTTTTTTTTTTCAAATATCCATTTTTTTTTTTTTTTTTTTAAGATAGACCATCTCCTGGGCCATGAAGCAAACTCGAACTAATTTTAAATAACTAAAATTATATAGTGCATGTTCTTTTGCAATAAAGACTACAAAGTAGAAATAAATACCAGAAAGACAAAAGGTAATTCTCTAAATATGTAGAAACTGAACAAAATAATTCAAAGTAATCTATGGGTCAAACTGGAGGGCTCAGAGAAAATTGAATAATGCATAAAACTAAATGAATCTGAAAGCACAGCATAACAAAATATGTAGGATGAAGCTAAAGCAGTAAAAATCACAGCACTAATTTAAGTAGACAAACAAAAGGAAAGAACACACTCAGCATTTCTTAAGCTGAGAGAACTGAAGAAAAAATTGAAACCTCGACGTGTGTTATTGAAGGATTCTCTGGGCAAATTATTGAATGCTGCAGAAAGCATCAAAAGAAGATGGAAGGAACACACAGAGTCATTGTACCAAAAAGAAATGTTTGATGTTCAACCATTTCAAGAGGTAGTATATGATCAAGAGTCAATGATCCTGAAGGAAGAAGTCCTAGATGTATTGAAGGTATTGGCAAAGATCAAGGCAAAGGAATCGATGTAATATAAATTGAAATCTTTCAACAAACTGATGCAGCACTGGAGGCACTCACTCATCTGTGCCAAGAAATTTGGAAGACAGCTACCGGGCCAACTACCTGGAAGAGATCTGTATTTGTGCCCATTACAAAGAGTGGTGACTCAACCGAATGCAGAAATTATTGGAAAATATCACTGATATCCCATGCAAGTAAATTTTACTGAAGATAATTCAAAAACAGCTGCTATGATTATACAGTGATAGAGAACTTCCAGGGTTCAAGACGAATTCAGAAGATAATGTGGAGTGAGGGATATCATTGCTATCAGATGGATCTTGGTTGTAAGCAGAGAATACCAGAAACAGAATACCTGTGCTTAATGAACTATGCAAAGACTTTCAATTGTGTGGACCATAACATCTAACACATAATAGTAAAGAACTATTCCACTACATTTAATTGTGCTGTTGAAGAATCTGTATGTAGACCAAGAGGCAATTGTTCGAACACCAAATGGCTTAAAATCAGAAAAGATGTGTGCCAGGGTTGTATTCTTTCACATGTGTTCAATCTGTATGCTGAGCATATAATCCAAGAAGCTGGATTATATGAAGAAAAACATGTCATCAGGCTTGGAGGAAGATTCATTAACAACCTGCGATTTGCAGATGATACAACCTTGCTTGCTGAAAATGAAAGTGACTGATGAAGATCAAAGCCTTTGGCATGGATTGCATCACAATATAAAAACAAAACTAAGATCCTCACCACTGGGCCAATAAACAACATCCATATAAATGGAGAAAAGACTGAAGTCAAAGACTTCAATTTTCCCTATTCAACCATCAACTATCATGGAAGCAGCAGTCAAGAAATCAAAAGGCATATTGAATTGGGCAAATCTGCTGCACAAGATCTCTCTAAAGTGTTGAAGAGCAAAAATGTTAGTTTGAGAACTATGGTGTGCCTGACTCAACCCATGGTATTTTCAATAACCTCATATGCATGCAAAAGTTAGGCACTGAATACTGATGACTTCAGTATGTAAGACCTATACCATTAAAATGAAATGTTCAGAATCATTCTAAAATAAATACATGCATACACAAAATATTTTTAAATAATGTGTTTTATAAAAGTTTGTATTATCAGGGATGAGTAGTTAACCATACAAAATTCTGACATAAATTTACTTAGCATGATCTATATATTAAGTGTAATGTACAAGTAAGAATTATACTGAACCTGCTAAGGATTACAGAACAATACTCATCCTACACAAAAACAGGATGCTAGGTGTAGGCAGGATACCAATAGTTAGTAAGCATTATCTAATGCTTTGTATATAAGTAAGCGACTTATTTTTTTTTGAAAAATAATTGAAAAAAAATATTTCAATTATTTTTATTTTTTATGATGGATAAGAGTAACATGGACAGAATTCTGATTAATAATAATCAAGTATGAAAACCAAATAAATGAAAAACTCATCTGCCTTCATGAAATTCATTATGTACAAGTCCAATTTCAAAGCAGTTTATAGAAATATCTGTTCTATTACTATCTTACCATCTGTTAAGCTTTATTATTGAAACACTAGATGTCCTCCATGTGCTTTATGTGTTTATAAAATAGCTAAGTCGCTTATTTATATACAAAGCATATTCATTCACTTTTTATTTTTCTTTTTTCCAGCCTTACATAACATACCTTAGAAAGTCTTTTTGAAGCTTCACAATTATGATCTTTGCATGGCTTGGGTCCTTTTTCAGTGTCTAGAGATGAAACTGAGAAAATATATTTTATCATGGACCATGATATTAAAATTAGCTTTTAAATCATATAGAACAAATATTTTTTACTGTATTTTTATTTCATTAAATATTTAAGCAATTTCCAACTGTTAAGTTTTTCTTTTCAGATACAAACCCAAGTGAAATAGTTATTTTAAAAGTCGGGAAAATCTTACTCTTACAAGACACTTAAGAATTAATCAATTTTCTTGATCATTGACATCTGTTGCTTTTGTAACTTAAATCTCCAAATTCCCAAACTGGTTTTTAACAGTGAAATTATTTTTAACCTTTATATCACACACACACATATTATGCATTCATGTGGAAGCACATACTCATTCAATATTCCATTTAACTCTAGCCATAGGCCACATTGCTGCTGTTGTTAAGTGCCGTTGAGTGGATTCTGACACATAGCAACACTGTATAGGGTTTCCAAGGAGCGGCTGGTGAGCTTGAACTGCTAACCTTGAGTTTCAAACTGACTTTGCAGTCTAGTGCTCATCTTATAATGCCATACCAGGACCGCACAATACCCTTAGGTCATATATGTATTATTTCACAAACTAAATTCTTAACCTCTAACTACCAATTGATGGAGTTAAGAAAAACTTTATCAACCCTGGCAATATACTGTGGTTGGACTATGACAGTCGCTGTGCAACCTGAAATGACAGAGATATTTGTACACGCAAGTAATCATTTATTCAACAAGTAATTATTAAGTGTCAGGCACTGTTCAAACTATATATAACTAAACAGAATCAACAAAATCCTTGCCTTTTTAAAGACTATATTGTAATATAGTAAGGGAGAAAATATTTAAAAATGTAATCAGCACCAACTATACGGTATGATAAGGTGATATGTACTAGGGTTAACAATACAAGCGAAAGCAAAGAGACAAGGACTGCATTTGTGAAATGATACAAGATTGTGGTTTAAAAATCAAGCAATTATAAGAGTATTTAAGCAAAATAATGAAGGGCATCTGAGGGATTCCCATGTGACTATACCATTTAGAGCAGGGTTGGGACAAATCGGCCCATTCAACTTGCTGTTGAATGTAGAAAAGCTAGACAGTTAGAAATAATGAAGTAAGAAACCTGAACAAAAAATTTCAAAAGACAGCTTAAGAAGACAAAGTGAAATATTATAATGAAATGTACAAACAACTGGAGTTAGGAAACCAAAAGAGAAGAACATGCTCAGTAATCCTTAAGATGAAAAAAACTAAAAAAAAATTCAAATAAGGCCCAGGAAATCATTTGGTCCGGCAGTGCCAAGGCAACTGCAATTCCAGCCATCACATTTGCTATTGTTGTTGTTAACTACCATCAAGTCAGTTCTGACCCACAGTGACCCGGTTCAGTGTTTCCAAGGAGAGGCTGGTGAGTTTGAACCACTGACCTTGCTGTTTAAACTGACCTTGCAATTGAGTGCTTATCCTACAGCTCCACACCGGGACTTCAGCCACCACATTTGTTGTTGTTGTTATTAAGTGTTGTCAAGTCAGTTCCAACTCATAGTAACCCTGTATAGAGTTTCCAAGGAATAGCTGATGGATTTGAACTGCTGACTTTGTGGTTCTCAGTCCAGTGCTTTTCCTGTAATGCCATACCAGGACTCCAGTCATCATACTGTTGTTGTTGTTGTTGTCAGGTGCCATAG